TTAACAGATCCTTTTGATAGTTCTTTAGAAACTATCAGTGGATACTTCATCTACCTTATTCTGTGCCATAATCATCAAGGCTTTTCTTGGAGAACACGATTGACAGCAGCCTGGGTGGGTGGCAAGGATGGTGCCTGCTCCCTCAGGAAGAACTGCACTACCTGCAGTGGCCTCACGGAAGGGCTCTCGGTGGTAGCTGAGTGTTGACGCCACAGCAGAGTCTTTCTGTTTGCCATCTCATCACTAGACTGGGGTTTCAGATGATAAACGCTTCACCCATCCTTTGCTGTTTGTCAAACAGTAAAAGATTATTCTTGCTGTAGCGAAGAATACTTTATTCACAGATGTCAGAAACATCAGTTTATAATGTAAATGTTCTGTGTGTCCCCAAAAAGTTCTTTGTATACTATTCGTTTTAGTATTGACAGTGTTTTAAAGCTTTGAAAGAGCAATGTTCTTTTAGAATCTTAAAAGGATGACATCTGTGATGAGTATAAACTAAAATATTGTCTTGCCATATTTGATTTTACTATAGCATCTAAGATTGGATAGACACTTGATTTATCTGGTCTGTCATATAAACTTTTTTTTTTAGTTTAACTTTGGTCTCTTTCTCAAGCGCTGGCTGTCTGTTGCAATGAAAGCCTTTTATAAAATAGAGAGATTGAAATCAGTCCTTTTGTATGCATAAGTGTAGGTAATTATACTTTAAAGAGAACTTGCTTTGTACATTTTAATTTTTATAAAGAAACGAGCAGTTATCTCCCTGACACCTTATTAAATGTATAATTAACCTTATGATCCCTAGCTCACTTGTGAATGCTTGGCAGTATAATTGGAGAGGAATAGTGTTTCTTTTTTTCCTCTTTCTTTGCAGTCCTAAACCTCATTCTGTGGTTGTTGAAGCATTAGTTTAATTTTTCCCCTTTCTTTTTAAACAAACTTTATACTTGCAATGCCAAGGACAGCTTTCACCAAAGCTTGGCGTAGTTCGCACTTGTTTTCTTTTTTCTTGCCTTAAAAAATAATAGTTGACTGTTAGGCCTTCCTGTTCATAATAATACACTACTGTATTATTGTGAACTTTCTTAATTGGAAATATTCACTTTGATTTGCTTGTTTATCAGAAACCTTCACTTACTGATTAATGTTCTAATTTTCAGAGATGTGGTGCAATTGCTGAACAAACCGCAATTTTGTTGGTGTTCTTTATTAGGAATTCTCAAAAACCAGGAAAGGTACTGTGCTTTATTTGCTAACAAATCAGTGATGCTATACGTGTCTTGCTCAGAAGTATTGAATTTAACATAACAGCCTGTTGGTCAGGACCTTATTTGAGAACACTATAGAAATTCAAGACTTTGCTTGTCTCAACTTACTTTTATAGGATATTGATAGAGTCAGTTTTGGCTTTTAGCTGTACTGGAAATGTAAAACAATTTCATGCAGGAATTCCCCACTTACACAGTTATGTATTGAGAGCCCCAAGAAAAGGCCCTTAGAACTGGAAAATTAGGCTGGGCATGGTAGCTCACACCTGTAATCCCAGCAATTTGGGAGGTCAAGGTGGGTGGATCACTTAAAGTCAGGAATTTGAAACCAGCCTGGCCAACATGACAAAATTCTGTCTTTACTAAAAAAAAATAATAATTAAAGACTAAAATTATGTTGCTCAGGTCACTTTGGTACATTCAACAGTGCAGAAGTACTGCCAAGGGAAACATACTACAGAGTGTCTCCCATCACATGGCAACTTTTGAGCATTTATCAAGTAAATGAGCTACTTGGCTTTCAAATTGATATGGAGACATAAATTAATGTTCTAATTTGTACAATTGCCTTATTTACACTAGAAAAGAACCAAATCCTTTTAAAAATTTTTTTATTATTTAAAAAAATTCTGTGGGTACATATTAGGTATATTAAATTCTAATTTGATGTTTAACAGTAAGAATAAAAATAAATTTCAAAAAAAAATTTTCTTAGATCTGATTTTACCCCTTGTACACCAGAAACTACATTCTTAGTTTATTTGAGTTCCTTATGGAGTTTCAAACCACATGCCAACCGTGATGTTTGTTTTATTTGAAATTGGGAGGTCTCCATTTTCCTTAATTTCTACACACTTCCCCTAAATATACCTACACTTTAAAAATTTTGCTTCATTGCATCTGTGGGTTATGTGTTTATTTACTACAAACAACTCTCTTAGAAAATATTTAATTGCCTTTTCTTCCAGAGAGGCTACGTTTTTATATTTGTGATTAAAATGTATAAGGAATCTAAAAAGCACATGTCAGTCCACATGTGAGGCTGTGCCAAGGGCCTATTGCCTTGTCCAGGAGATGGGATGTAAAATGCACAGTAATATATCTGCTTAGAACATTCCTCCCAGGGGAGTTTAAAATAGAAGAAGCCCTGTAGGTCCACGTATGGATTGACTCAATAAACCTGCTATAAAAAGGAGCTAGGATTTTTAAGATGAAGTGTTCCATTGTTTGACAGTAGTAGAATAATTAAGCCAGATTTTGCTTCTCTTGGTGAGTTGGGAAGAGGGCATAAATGTTTATATATCCATCATTGATTTATCCAGCAATGTTGGAGCAGGGCTGGAACCTGTTCAGCAGATATTCATTAGGGCAAAGCAGATTTGCATTCACTCGCTACAGGATATAAAACTGTAGCCCACTCTACATATTCCTGGAAGAATTCAAGTCAAATTTCAGTGAGATCCTAGAAATTCTTTTTTTATATGTCAAGTGGGTAAAACTTCAGAATGTTTTAACTGAATTCTTCACAATTTCATCCATCAGTTGTGGCATCTACAGATAGGGTTGTTATCTCTTCTACCCTTGGGATCTCAAACTTCTTGATATGGTCACCTCTTGGCAAAAGAAGCAATCTATCATATTCTAGAAAAATATTCATAGAAATGTAAGTGGAATTGCATTAACTTGTGAAAAATGCTGGTTTGTTTTAGCTGTAGATTGTTGAGTCAACATCAAATGCTAATATACAAGGGAAAATAGTCCACTAAATTGAATAGGCAGTTCTGTTGTAATTATTGTGAAAATTTTTAATATAGTGTTGATTTGTCAGTGTTCTATTTCACTGTTATTTTGAGGTTTTGGTAATACTATCTTTATTTAATTTCCTAGGCATCAGCTCTGCTATCTGTGTTAGAATTGATTCCTGAATTAAATGAAAAGCCAGAAGCATATAATTCCCTCATGAAAAGCTATGGTAATATACGTTTAATCTGACTATATCATTTGATTATTTAAGTGGCTTTATTATTTAAGTGACTATATTATGTAACTGACTTGTAGTGTAGTCAAGTAAGTCTTAGTCTTCAGCTCAATGGCAGTAATCTCAAATATCAGATAAAAATATATTCCAGAACTGAGTTATTTATAAAATATAACTCAGCTCTGGAATATATTTTTAAACTATATATTAAGAAAAATACTAAATTATGCATATAACTTTAACAAGTACCACTCAGCATCTTCCGAGCAGTCCAGGTATGTTCGGTAGAATCCCAGGCTCCTGGAAAGACCTGGAAATCCTCTTGGACTTATATATTAGAAAGCAGTTCAGTCTCCCCAAAGGCCTGCTACCTGAAACAATTACAAATTTGAGACTGTCACTTAACCAGCTTTCTTGCTCCTTCAGTACGCTCTCTCTGCCTGCCTGCTACTCCTTTGAAATGACAGACCCCTTGATTAAAAAGTAGCCCAAGGTTTTTAGGTCCCAGTTAAAATTCTCGTCTTTTAACCAGGTTGTTCCCTGATTGCCAGACAATCACATATGAAAGGAAACTAGTCTAAAGAAGTTTCCTCAGTAATCAAAATAAATGTTTGCATTTCTCATTTGTGATCACCTCTCCAACGGCTGCCCACTGATTTGCCCACTGAAGGCGTGGAGTAAATAAAGATTTATTGATTTTATCTATGGCAGAACAACAGACTCAGCAATCAGAATTAGTCAAGTCAGTTCTGTTTTTCCATCCTTATAAGGAGAACATTCTGTATTTCAAAATAGAGCTATAGTCATAAAATTTCTCAAATTTCCAATAATTAAACACAGGCATACCTGGGAGATATTGCCCACCACAAAAAAGCAAATAGAATGAACAAATTGAGTTAACATGAATGTTTTCATTTCCCAGTGTATATAAGTTATGTTTATACAACAGTGTAGTGTATTAAGTATGCAATAACATTATGTTTTTAAAAAGTACACACCTTAATTTTAAAATACTTTGTTAAGAATAGCTAAAGATATCTGAGCCTTCAGTGATTTGTAATCTTTTTGGTGGTAGAAGGTCTTGCCTCAATGTTGATGGCTGCTGAATGATCAGGGAGATGATTGCTGAAGGTTGAGGTGTCTTAAAATAAGACAACAATGGAGTTTGCCACTTCAACTGACATTTCCTTTCACGAGAGATTTCCGTGTAGCATGTGATGGTGTTAGCATTTTATCTGCAGTTGAACTTCTTTTAAAAATTGGAGTCAGTCTTCCCAAACCATACCATTGCTGTATCAACTAAATTTATGTAATATTCTATATCCTTTGTTGTCATCTAAACAGTGTACACAGCACCTTCATCAAGAGTAGATTCCTTTTCAAGAAACCACTTTCTTTGGTCATCCGTAAGAAACAGCTTTTCATCATATCGAGTTTGATCATGAGATTGCAGCAGTTCAGTCACATCTTCAGGCTCCGCTTCTCATTCTAGTTGTCTTGCTGTTCCCACCCCATCTGCAGTGATTTCCTCCACTGAAATCTTGAGACCTGCAAAGGGGGTCCCATTTATGAGGGTTGTAATCAGCTTCTCCCAAACTCCTGTTAATGTTCATGTTTTGACCTCCTATCAATTACAGATGTTCTTAATGGCATCCAGAAGGTTTTCAGTTTACTTTGCCCAGATCCATTAGAAGAATCACTATGTCAGTTATAGCCTTATGAAATGTGTTGGTTTTTTTAAATTTTATTTTTAACACATGAAATACTTCACACATTTATGTGTCATTTTTGCACAGGGGTCATGCTAATCTTCTCTGTATTGTTCCAATTTCAGTCTATGTGTTGTTGAAGTGAGCCCAAAATGTGTAAGACCTGAAAGTCAAGATTACTTCTTGATCCATGAGCTGCAGAATGGATGTTGTATTAGGGCACCTGAGAACAACATTAATCTCCTTGTATATCTCCTTCAGAGCTCTTGGGTGACCAGGTCCATTATCACTAAGCTAATATTTTGAAAGGAATCTTTTTTTCCCCTGAGCAGTAGGTGTCAACAGTGGGCTTTAAATACTCAATAAACCATGTATAAACAGCCGTGCTGTCCTCCAGGCTTTGTTCTTCCATTTATAGAACACAGGCAGAGTAAATTTAGTGTAATTCTTAAGGGCCTGAGGATTTGGGAATGGTAAATGACCGTTTGCTTCAACTTAAAGTCACCAGCTGCATTAGCCATTGAAAATAGAGTCAGCCTGTTCTTGGAAGTTTTGAAGCCAGGCATCGACTTTCCCTCTCTAGCTATGAAAGTCTTTGATCTAATATAAGGCTGTTTTATCTACATTGAGTGTTTGTCGTTTAGTGTGGCTGCCTTGATTGTCTGCATCAGCATTTGCAGTTTCACCTCGGACTTTTACGTTATGGAGAAGGCTTCTTCCCTTAAAACTCCTGAACCAGTCTCTGCTAGCTTCAGACTTCTTTTTATAATTTCTTTGCCTCCCTCAGTAGTGTTAGGCTTTGTCTTAAAGGATTGTTGTGGCTGGTTTGATCCTCTATTCAGACCAATAAAACTTTCTCCATGTCAGCAGTAAGGCTGTATCACTTTCTTATCATTTGTGTGTTGAGTGGAGTAACACTTTTGATTTCCTTCAAGGAGTTTTCCTTTGCATTCACAACTGGCCGTTAGCCACAAGAAACCTAACTTTCAGCCTATCTCGGCTTTTGACATGCCTCCTCACTAAGCTAAGCTTAATCATTTCTCGCTTTTGATTTAAAGTGAGAGATATATGACTTTTCCTTTTACTTGAACACTTACAGGCTCTCATAGGGTTTTTAATTGGCCTAATTTCAATATTGTTATGTCTCAGAGAATAAGGAGGGCCGAGGAGAGGAAGATGGGAGATGGAAAAACTGCTAATTGGTAGAACACACATTTCTCAAGTTTGCCGTCTTATGTGTGCATGGTTCATAGCACCTCCCAAACAATTACAACGGTAATACAAAGGTCACCATAACAGATAAACCAATCATGGAAAACTTTAAAATATCCCAAGAATTCCCAAAATGTGACACAGAGACAAAGTTAGCCCGTGCTGTTGGAAAAATGTCATCAATAGACTTGCTCAAGGTGGGGTTACCACAAACCTTCAATTTGTAAATAACACACATCTGTAAAGTGCATTAAAGCCAAGGTATGCCTGTAATGTGAAATAGTGTCAAACGCATAAAACTATATATGTTACTACTAAATTAGGTAATCCAACTTGGGAGGAGGGTAGAAAATTCAGAAAGTAAAGAAAGGCAAGATGCTGGAGTTTTCAGAGCCCCTTCCTAGAAGATAGAGCTAGACCCCTTGACAGTAGTAGGGAAAGGGTTCAGGTCCTTAGGGAGGGAAATAAAGGATTTACACAAGAAATTGTCTTCATGTAAACAGCAGAGATCTGTTTCAACTCCACGAAGAGCTGATGAGTCATTCACCCTCATTCCACTTTGGGAGACTCTGATTTCTGAACTTCTCACATCCATCTGAGGGGTTCCCCTGGTGTTACTGGAGTTGAGATTGACTATATCAGAGTCAGTGTAGGGCAGGGGTTTATTTGGTGCTTAGATGCTAACAATCTAATGCAAAACTAAAGAGTTGAATTACCAGCAGTAATTGTTAGCAGAGCCCTTACCATCTTGATGGTAAACTAAAAAATTTCCACATAGCCACAAGTAGAGAGCCAGCCAAATTTGACTCCTAAGCTATTTCATCATTCACTTAAATGAAATACTAGTGTAACTTGTTAATGTCTCCTTAAAGGTTTTGTGTGTGTCACTGTAGCTAACTATATTCTCCATATTTATTTTACAATAGAAAAATGAAATAGTTACTTTGGTGTTCAGCTGATGATCTTGATGTTGATGTAGATTTCCACATAATTTACATGTCCCTCTCCACAACAGTCCCTGGATTATCTTGATTTCAAAGTGGTTTTAAGCAAAAGAGAATTGAGTGGTGTGTGTGCGTAGTATTTTATAACTGAAGACTTCAGTTTGTGGTCACTTGAACTATCATAGGTCTTAAAAATATAATAACCTAAGTGAATGGTATCAGTAATATTCTAAAGACCTTTAAATGTAGCCATATTTGTCATTTTCTTCTCCTTCAAAGTGAGTGATGCTGAATGAGGGATGTAGAGAAGTGAGGGAGATGGTAGATTCTGAATGTGGCTTCGTACTGAAGGTAGCTAAGTATTACTCATTTGCCATGGGATAAAGGGATCCAGCCGTCCCTGAATGGCTAAGTGTTTTGGTGAAAAGAGTAAGATAGATTGTCTTTATCTATGATTAATATATTTTTTCTCTTTAACTGTATCAGCCTTAGAGGGAGATGTCACATCTGCTAAAGCACTGTATGAACATTTGACTGCAAAGAATATAAAATTGAATGATCTGTTTCTAAAGCGTTATGCAATTTTGCTGAAGAGTGCTGGAGAGTCTGTCCCTTTCACGGAACCCCCTGTGAGTATTTCTTAATTAAGGAGGGAAAAATACCTCTACAGATTTATGTACGCTTCATAACAATGTGTAAGAAAATAAGTTGAAGACTTAATTACATGAGGATTAGATCTCTGTGAAGAACCCTCAGGGGATGGCTTGAGGGGCTGAGCAGCGTGCCTTGGCTGCAGCACTGGGAGAATGTAGCTCTCTGGGGCCACAGTTTAAAATACAAGGTCTGTCTCAGACCTTCAGCTATAGGCATGGATTTATCAAATGTCCTTGGGGCAGTTCTCATCATTTCAACTTGAAATAGGATTTAATGGCCTGTAGTTCAACAGCCAAGCATATTATGTCACTGCTAATTACTTGTTCATTTACATAAGTTAGCTTTTATTTCCTCATCCAGGACATTTTGTTTTCTTTAATAAGAGAAATCACATATGCACAATTCCTTTTTGTTGTGTCATTGAACTGAAAGTCACTACACCATGTGTATTTCAAACACCTCAACCTTCCATACCCAGGTGTAAACCTCCATACATGTGCATGCACACACACACACGAGTGCACACTAGCTCCTGCTGCTAGCTTTAACTCTGAATTCAAGGCGCTTGAACTTGTGATTTCATGAAACAAGGAAGGAGCGCTGAAGCTTGGGGGGCAGCATCTGCCATGGGTCTGGCAGTCTTAGCTACCAGTTGGTGGTGTTTTGTGATTGTCTACGTTTTGTACCATCACCTTTATCTCTAACTTCCCTCTTTTTTTCTCCTTAACAGGAAAGCTTTGAATTTTATGTACAGCAGATGAAAGAATCGAAGGAAAACTCTTCATGAAATAAGCAGGCGATACTTTGTTTTGTGTATATTTGTGATTCTGTGTCTACATGTTATTTTTAAGTGTATTTGAAGGGAAAAATAAATGAAAAATTCATGTACTTTATGTATGATACATGTTCAAAGTCAACAATAAGTGTACATTTGGTTATTGGGTGTTTTTAGGGTTTTTTTCTTCTGGCATAAATTGATAGCATTTCTTCAGTGCTGTTCTTTTTCAGGATTCTTCTCGCACTTGGCTCTTCGGTTTCCCTGCTCTGTTTCATTTATTATTTTCATTAAAATGTTATTT